ATGTAAGGAGTAAGATGCGTAAAGAGATAGGTTATTAATGAGCGGTTTGACGTCCGCTACATTGAATTTTGGTAAAACACATCTTTATTACGTTCCATTAACTTTCACGGCGACCTGAAAACACTGCTTGTAATGCGATTAAATTTAAAATGATTTATCAGATTGCGGCAAACTCATATTGGAAGCATTTTTCTCATTTCTATTAATAGAAATTCTCGGTGATTAATGTGGCTGTTTCCGTGCCGTGTAATGCGGTTTTGGTAAAACACATTTTTTCTAGAAAATAAAAGCTCGTACTGGGCCCTTCGTACCAGGAAAACACTCCATCTGTCTCATGTTCTCTTTAACTTCACATGATTTTAGCAGAACCAGATCTCGACCAAGGACTAAATGCATCTTTTGATTTCGATGAATGGATCTCTTTAAAACATATTTCCGATCGCGACATTTATCCACGAACCAGAAACAGTTTAGTTATTTGCTAATTTTCGTAATATATCCTAAATCCGGCTACAACACAGTTCTTCCAAAAAACTAAACTAGTGAAGCAATCTTATTTGTTTGGTTTTCTAAGGGTATTTTGGTCAAATGGGGACGTTCAATTGGAAAGGAGCCTGCTAGAATTATCGCTTGTGCGCCTTCCCGTAACGAGCCACTTCGTTGAAACATAATTTTGCAAACATTTTTAAAGTGCTGCTAACGGCAGGGCGGCCTGCGCGTTGCGTGTCGCGACGCGGAATCTCGTAGAAAATGTATCGTATTGAAATGCATATAATGTCGCAACCCTTTTTTGTAGAATCATTTATTCGAGTACACAATTGCGAACGCGGCCAAAAAAACACCTTATCAATGAAGTGATTTCAGTAAGAATCCAACAGAGATTAATTGCCGGTAACATAATGTATCGTGCAATTTGTTGTCACACAACCCTGCTAAAAGATAAATTAATAGAAAATATTTATTTTGTTTTGCTGACGGTATTTTACACCACATTCGCGGATTACTGCCTTCCATCCGGTCATCTGCAATCTTTTTCGCTGAAAAATAATTTGTCGCATTTAAGTTTTATATACAAGCAGTTTTACAGCGGCTGACAAGCAAGCTCGTTGCGTATGGCGCTGCGGAAAACTTGATATGGGATCTTCGTGTTTAAAAAAATATATTTATAATGCGTTATTCGTTTGCTTACTTCCAGTTTTCGAGGTCACACATGCGGCGGACTATTAATGGGCGGCCCGCGTCTCTGAGGATGTTTTTTTGAGGAAACACGTTTTCTTTATTTATGGTGTTTCTGCCGCTACTCACTGGGTAATTTTTAAATTTTATTTGGTTATTGGTACAATTTAGAAGCATTTTCCTACTTGTCACTAAAAGCCGTTTTTTTGGTTCTATCAATAGCTTTCGCTAAAACATACTTTTCAGTCAGGAGACTTCACGACCAACTAGAGAAAGCTTAATTATTATTTGCCAATTTACGTGGTTTATTCTGCAGTTCGTTGCAACACAGTCCTTCTAAAAAATAAATTAGGAAAGCACGCTTATTAATTTGGTTTTCTAACGGTATTTCACGCATCATAGCAGACGAATTACTACCTTCCAGCCGCTCAGCTGCAATCTTTTTCGATGAAACATAATTTTTCGCATTTTTGTTTTATGCAGAAGCATTTTTACAGCCGAGTCTAGCAGCGCGCGCGTTGCGTGTGACGATGCGGCGGACCTGGTATGGAATATATACGTGTTTAAAAATCTTTATGATGCGCTATCCGTTTCCTTTGCGAGCATTCAATGCCACAGATACGACGAGAGATTAATGGTTGGTTGTCCCGTGTCTTCGGTGGTACATTTTTGAGGAAACACGATTTTTTTTTTATTTATGGTATCGCCCATCCGCTGCTCAGTGGATAATTTTTCAATTTTACTTGGCTTTGGATACAATTTAGTCTATTTGTCGACCAGACACTAAAAGCAATTTTTTTTTGGTTTTAGAATAGCTTTCGTTAAAACATACTTTCCAGTTACGGGTTTCAGGGCGATACGATGAAACTGGCATTGTTGTCAATTTACCTAGTTATCATGCAGTTTGTTGCAATGAATTTTCAAAAAAGAAATTAATAGGGGAAATTTTTGTTTGGTTTCTAACGGTATTTAATAAGTGTGTTTTTTGCCTTCCAGCCGGTCGAGTGCAATTTTCTCGATGAAATTTTTTTGATTTTGTTTTATTAAGCGGTTTGAGTCTGTATTTTGAAAGCTAGTAGCATACTACGTAGCTTTTTTGATCGGTTGTAGTCGTAATACCGGCCCTTGGGTGCAAGCGTAGCCCCAGAAATCTGGCCGGGGCGAAGGCTAATTTTATAATGTGCCGCTTCGATTTACGTATTATGCTCTATAGTGTGTATTTGTGGCGTTCTTTTGCAGTTTTCAATTTAGAGAAGCAGCTGCATTTGTAGAACTGTATAACCTAAATTCTAAAAAAAATTCAAAATTTGGAGCCAATGGAAAGGTCGCTTTTGGGGATTTTCATACTTAATTTGGCGTTCTGGCTATGCCCCTTTTTCCGATCGATTTATTTTTTAAGATTGTCTGAAGTCATATAAAAATTGTTTATATTAGCTTACTAATAAAAAATGGTTCCCCCCTTTATTCGCCAAGTACCGTATTTTCTACAGTCGGTGCTGAATCAATATGACAATTGCCGATGGCCGTTCATTAAGTTTTTATTTCATTAATTCATAAACCGAATTGATAGTGTCCGTATTGCCCAAAAATCAATCCATTCGATGAAAATCATTTATCAGTAGCAAGTCAACGATTCGCACCAGGCTTTCTCATTAAAAGAAAATAAAATAAAAAAAAATGCTTTCAACTGAATTAGAAATTCTGCAGTTTTAAGTCTTTTATTTTCTCCTTTTCCTCACATCTTTTAATGCTAAAAATTTCCTTAAGGCGTTCAGGAGGGGGCCGTGTACTCGTCCCAAGTGTACACCTATGACGTAGGACCGCGCGCACTGCTGCCACGTGCTGTGACAGGCCATTCCCTCGCTGCGCGTGGGGCGCCCTAGCTAGCCGGGTTGTAACTGTGGCTGGCTGGTATCCATCCGCGCCTCCCCGGGCGGGGAGACCGGAATTTCGATCGTCGTCGATCGTCGAAGCATCGAATTTGTTGTTTTATCGGCGGTTTATTGAAATGTTTAAATTTTAATATTTTATTTGGTTTTGTGAAGCCCCGTAATGCCAGTACCGATTTTTCCGTTGGTAGCACGTCGCCAGATTGTCTATTCGCCCAAACTCCAATGCATTTTGATGAAACACACATTTTTTTGTAAAATTTATTAAATCGCACACGATTCGCACCAGGCTCTCGTTCTCATTAAACTACGAAAAACACAGATTAAAAAAAAACAGAAAATTTTTTTTCAACTCGAATTTCAAAAATGGTCGCCTCGTGCACCCCCAAAAAAGGCAGCAATTTCTCTGGGGGCACCGTGGCATTCAAATTTTGATGGAAATTAGCGCAAAATGGGCAAATCCTATTCCAAAAACCGGGGCTGAATTTTATAAGAATAAGTTCGAGTTTCTTTACTGCATTTTAAAAATTGTAGTTATATAAAGAATGTGTCATATTTACCGTAGCTCAATTAGGGCATTACGGCACCAAAAGGGCAGCAGCGGTACCGTAATCCCATCAATAAAACGGTATATGGTAATTTTTTAAGGTATCCTCTTGGGGTATCTGGCCATATGCAAATTTGCCTAAATTACCAGCGCCCCGAAACTCGAACAAACTCAGCCCCGTTTACAGTAATATAGCGGAAAATATGGAAATAGTAAATCTATCAAAACTACGCGATTCTAAGCAACAAAAAATCACAAAGAATATGTTTCAAAAAGTTTTTAAAATCCCAAATTTTTTCGACGAATTGTGGCAGCAAATCGCCTAAAAATTGGGCAAAACAATCGACAAATCGAAAAATCGAGAATTAGGGCAATTTTAGCCGCCATTTTTGTAAAAAAAGGGGCGTGGCCTCAGCGGTGGCAGCCGGGGGGCGTGGCCTTGATTTTTTGGCGGTGCGGTTTTGAGCAGCAATTTGGAAAAGTTGAATTAAATGGCGTAATTCAATGAATTATATATTTTTCTTGTCATGGGCAGCAACAAGAAAATCGATAAAATATCGATAAGGTATCCATGAAAGGTATGGAAAATCGATTGCGGCATTAAAATCGATAAATGATGGCAAATTTCGTCTCGTGTGGTCCTTTCTGGGGTAATTATAGAGTTTGTAGTTTCATGTAGATTTGATCACTTGCGCGCAGCCGGCCGGCGTTGCGGCAGCGCTGCGGTTGTGCCTGGAAACAGGGTTTTTATTTGGTGTGATTACATCAAATTTACGTCGTCGCGACTGTCTACGAATCACCATTAAATTTTATAAATTGACAGGTACAAAAACATGAAACATATATTTTTACAGCGGCTTGGTCCAACTGGGAAATTAGACCATTTTAGTTACATTTTAAATTAAATTCACCAGTCTCGAATTATGCAAATTATGATTTATGATTTCTCGATAGCTCAAATGGTTCAGCGGCAAAATAATTTGCGTCGTTTCCGAAAAATCATGTTTCAAAACATCGTAGAAATGCAAAAAAAAATGCTCGGTTCAGTAATGCGAGCTCCGTTTTTGCTTCAAGCAAAAATTTGCTAAATTTTTGGATGCGCTTTTTAGGTGTGCATCCAAAAATCCAAATCCAAAAATTTGATTCCAAATTACTGTGCCACCATTTTGAGCTGTACAGTAATTATTCCAATTTTCCAGATTTTTTGTGGCTAGGGAAAGATGTTTCAAAAGCCATCAAAATTGCCGAGAGTTTGTAAGTATAAGTAGTTGATCTCGATCATGTTTTCAAAAAAAAATAAAAAGATCTGGGTTTTTACCTTGCAACGATACGGTGGACTGGACGGTCGACCGGACGACGGCACAGAAGGCGACGAGTACGGTGGTGGACAATAGACGGAGGACGGCTGGAAATGACAGGACTGGACTGGACAAGGCACATAAACATCACAAATCCAACCTAATAAAATAAATGATAATTCTTCTCTTTTTTGCAAAAAAATGCCGTTTTCGAGCGGAATTTCAAAATTTTTAGTGTTGTAGATGGTTTTCCCCTCGAAATATTGTTTGCCCTAAAAAAAAACGCTATTAAATTACCTACTATTACGTCAATAGGCATTTCTGAACTTATAAAAGCACCCCTCGATAATGCAGAAGCACCTATTAATCAACACTTCAAAAATGACAAGATGATGTTTCATCAAAGGTGCAGCCAACAGCACAAAATTTTGGCTTAATAACTGCCCTTTGTCGCGCAAAAATACAATGTCTAAATTTAAAAAAAGATCAGACGTAAAATCCAACCCGTACCCTCCAGGAGGAGATAATTTCTGCATTTCTGGACTTAAAGAGAAATCCCCCCCCTCCCGAGAATGCAAAAGAACCTACTAAACAGCTAGTCCTTTTTAAAAAAGATGTTTCCTCAAACATTCATGCCATTGCACTAAATTTGGGCTTATTACTTGACTTTTTTTGATGAAAAATTCAACATATAAATATCTGAAAACTTGACACTTAAAGCACACTAAAAATACCGTACCTTCTAGTAGCAGAGATTTTCTGCATTTCTGGATTTATAGGAAAAAGCCCACGATACTGCAAAAGCACCAAACAACTAATTTTGAAAGTGGTGTTTCATCAAATTTAAAGACAACTCCGCCAAGTTTAGGCTTAATGGCTCTTCCTTTCGCGAAGCAAAATGCAAAAGCTAAAATTTTCTAAAAATACCGCACACTAGCAGCAGACCATTTCCGCATTTCTGGCTTGAGAGGAAAAAGTCCTCCCCCCGATAATGCAAAAGCACCAATTAACCAGCTATCCCTTAAAAAATGATGTGTCATCAAAGGTGCAGCCAACTCCACTATATTTTGGCTTAATCAGACCGATATTTTGTGACGAAAAATGCAACATATAAAATTATAAACCCCCACATTTAATTTAAAGTACATTAAAAATCCAGTAATTTTTAGGAGCAGAGCATTTCCTCATTGCTAGACTCCTTGAAATAAGCCCCCCCCCCGCCCGTTAATACAACAGAACCAATTCATCAACTAATTTTGAAAATAATTATGTTTCATCAAATTTAAACACAACTCCACTAAATTTGGGCTTAATGGCTCGTCCTTTCTGGTGGAAACAATGCAACATGCAAAATTCCAAATAAAAACACTTAAAGTACACTAAAAATACCGTACCCTCCAGGAGCAGCTTGGCAGTGGCGAGGTCTTCACCGTAGGGATTCCTCACGGTGCAGAGGTACTCTCCAAAGTGCTCCTTTTCCATGTAAACGACAGAGAGGGTAGAGTCTCCATCACGAGTATCGATCGAATAGCCGCCGACTCCTGTAAGAAAATATTAAAAATGGCACTTAATATCGGAAGTATTTCAATATACATTTTTTAAAATCCTAATTCATTTATTTTTTACGAGCCAAATCAAAGTTTTGTAGCTTTGGAAGATATTCAAACCGCATTACGAAAATAAAAACCTTTCGAGCTTTAAATATTTCTGAAACCCATTTTTTCACCGTTGTGGCAAAGGAGTAATTTGACAGCAGCGCTGAGAAATAAGTTTCAATGATTTGCACCGTTCCGCTGCGGGACGATCTTTTAATCGGTGGCCTCTTGCATTAACAAAATTCGTATAAAGCTCCCTTAGAAATTGGCCACACTACACTACGTTACGCTCCTAAAAACGCGGGCTTCCGAATTCGGAGATCGTTTCGGAATTTTCGTAAAATTTAGACTTGATTTAACTAAGGTTTTCACAGCACCATTACAAGAAACTAGAATTTGAAAAAAATGTGTTTCGTCAATTTTTAATGACCCCCGGCGAGCCGAATTTTTAATTGATGTTTACTCCCGGTCTGGAAAATTATCTTGCAAAAAAAGTACCACTTTCCCTTCAAACATAGCCTACGATACGCTACGCTACGTTACGCTCCAGAAAACGTACCATCCCGAATTCGGACATCGTCGCGGAACCACGAGACGACCGGCATCGGTTTGCCCTCGAACGAGCATTGCAGTTGGGCTTTTTGGCCGACAGCGGCCTGCATCGACACCGGATGCACCAGGAAACGCGGCTGGTTCGCCGAGGAGCCGCTTCTGCAAATTGTCATTTTCGCAAAAAATTTTAAATTTGTGTAAAATATCTATAAAATTCATCGATAAAGTTAAAACAAAAATTGCCTGGAAAAAAAACAAATTTTTGAAATTTAAGGGGGGATGAAACGCTTTGATTTGTTTGTTAAACTTTAATTTGTTAAAAAATACCCCAAAGTCTTTCCCGTATTACCTGGGATACAAAAATTTTTTTAATCAAGAATTTTCGAAACATTTAAATTTTGGGGTGCTTTAATGAACGCTATTTGATAGTATTATTTAAAATCGTAATATCAATGCCAATATAGAAAACCTATTAAGACATGAATATCCAGCGAAAAAAATATGTTTCTGCACAAAGCCACATTTGGCAAACTTTGGTATAGCTTAATGACTCAGCAGCACCAATGCTATTTATCAAATCTAAATATAAACCCTAATTATATCTTGACAAAAAAAATATTAAAAACGTACGGCGTTGGCTCGCGTACTGTCACGTCGACGGTGTGCGTCGTTTGGCCGGCGTGATTCGATGCGGTGATTTTGTATTTGCCAGCGTCTCGTCTATTCGTATCAGAAATCGTCAGAATCATCGACTCTCCGTCGGACGTCATCTGGAAAGACGCGGAAGTTTTTATTTGATTTGAAAGGAATAGAGACCCGGAATACGGAAAATCAAAAAGCCCCCTGCGCACTCCCGCGTTAAAACATTCTTTTTATTTGTATGTAAGCATTTTTGAACTTCAGTTAAGTTTTTTGAATAAATTTGATATTTTTATTCATCAATTTTTGATATTCAAATATTTTTTTTTGCTCCCCAGACCAAGAGCTACATTTTGGTATACGTTAAAGCCTTGTGCGTCCCAATGGGACTGGGTAGCAAAAATTCGAAAATTTCGGCTCGAATCCTAACTTTCAATCTTTATAAAAATCGTGCTGCCAATTTTTTGAGGATCTTATGGTGATATCCGGGGGAGCACATTGAGCTGAACTTTCTAAGATATTTGGCGCATTAATAGGGGGCATATCCGCGGAGATACAGTTGATTTATTGGGGGATCACCGGGTAGTTTGGGCCCGAATTCACCTTAAAAGACTTTGAAAAATCGTGTTGAAAAATTTCTCCAAATTATCATGTGAAATCCGTCGGGAGTTCTTCTCCGATTGACCTTCAGCTACAAACAGGCATTAATGGGAAGTACATTTAGAAACATTTCTTCAGGTCGCAATTAACGGGTTTATTGATCTCCATATTACCCGGGTAACAATCGAATTTGATGGAACATCTCTTTTTCCAAAAGTACATACCTTGTACTTGTCGCTGTTGATTACCTTCTCCGTGCCCTTGTGCCATTCGACGACCGGGTCGGGGTGGCCGACGATCTGAATAAAAACATGGAAGATATTAAGGTAGGTCTAATAGCCTGACTTGTTCTTTTCAAAAAAGAATGTTTTTAAAATTGAGGCACAATATATTTTTGGAAATTGAGACCATTGATTCTTGAGGCCCGTGTATCGAAATCTGATTCATCGCGTTTTAGAAAATCCCTTGTACAGTCACGATTTTTGTGAACATTAGGGGTTTTGAAAACTAATATATAAGCACGCACTTTTGAAAAGTTTTTCTAGGATCATCCGGAATTCGCTATATAAATTTAATTGATTTTATAGGATTAGTTTATGATTAAACAATCTTTCTATATAATTAAAAGCCAATTCGATTGTCATAGTGAAAATTGATCAGTTTTTCGCCGAAAAGGTTCATTCATTTTTGATTTTTTTGGGAAAAAAAGTGTTTTATGATCCAATTGGTAAAACGGGATTAGCTATGGATCAGTAACCACCACACCACCCTAGTGAAGATACTATTATTTAATTTCTTATCGTTAATAAAGTTCGTTTATGTCTTAATTGTTTATTAATCAGTGATTTATTAAGCAATTATTACCTTTGCCTTGATAACCAGCAGCATTCCGAGGTCAGCGCTGAGGCTGGCTGGGGCATCCAAGATTTTCGGGGCCTGCTCGCCGGCCGGCTTCTCGTCGGGTAGACCTAAGAAAAATCCAATTATTCTTTTTCTATTAATTTTGTATTTAAAAATTTTTTGATGATTTACAGCTACATCGGTTAAAATTTTCCATTTCCGAAAAAAATGTTGCGATCATTATGTATAAACCCGAAATTTTTTATGAATTAATACACCGCTCTATTGAGTCTGAAAATTCAGTTTTAAATTGTTGTTCCTCAAAGAATCTCTGCTAGCCTGCCCCTCCATTCCTCAAAGAATCTCTGCTAGCCTGCCCCTCCATTCCTCAAAGAATCTCTGCTAGTCTGCCCCTTCATTCCTCAAAGAATATCTGCAAGCTTACCTCCATTCTCATCTGACATCTCGCCACTCCCCATTGATTTCTGGCCTCGCAGCTGTACTGTCCGGCATCTTCTGGGAAGGCATCTGCCACGGCAAGTCGGCAGATTTTTCCGCTTTGTGAGTATCGGAATGCGGTGGAATCTGAAAGCATCAATTTTACATAGCGTTAGGATGCTGGAAAAAATTGTATTTCTGCCTTGAAAGGAAGCTTCATTAGTAAGCTGGCAAACTGGTTCCACTGCTTAGGTTTTTGAAACATTCCTGACGCTAATGGTCGTTTCATTTTTCTGAAAAACGCCCCAATAAAGTCAGTTCTTCGGCTTTGTGAATATCGGAATGCGGCGGAATACGGAAGGGCTAAATCCATTAGTCATAAAACCATTAGTCATAAACCCATTAGTCATAAATTCCATTAGTCATAAATTCAATAGTCCTGTTGTCAAAAAAAGTCAAAAAAATCGGTTGTTTTGCTTTGCGTGCATCGGGACATTCTTTCTCCGCGAATTGGTACCATCGATACCTTATTCGGCAAGGCGTATTTTGAGCTTTCCCTATTCTTTATTTAAACCCCTAAAGCACTCTTCCTTTCTTCATAGCTCCCAAATTCTAAGATTAGATCAAATTCTAAGATTAGATTTCTTTACACTTACTTTCCATTTAATTTAATTTAAAAAATTGGTTTCACGACACCACGTACCATAAAAAGCGTAGAGCAAAGTAATATTCAAGCTCGTCGCTGGTGGAACTCTTTGGAGCTTTTCGAATAATATCAATTTCCCAAAGATCAATTTTCAATACAGCCTGACGTCTACTAATTCTCCAAGTAACAAGTAGAAACGTCTTAATTAAAGCAGATACCTTCAATCTGCACACCATCCCTCAGCCACTTGATCGTCAACGGCTCGGAGCCCTCGATGATCTCGGCCTCCAAACTACACGGCTGGCCGTCGCGGACCCGGATGCGGTCCTTCAGGCGCTCCGCGCGGAATAGTGGCGCCTGGCCGTCTCCCTTTTTGTGAACACCAGGAGCGACCTGAAAAACACGGGTTTCATAAATTCTCAAAAAAAGCTTTTAATCTTAGTAATAATTATTGTAAAAAATGGGTTTCATCAACTTCTAAAAAGAGCTAGCTTTTATTCTCAATAATACCTCTCGAAGGCTCCAATTTTTAAGTATGGAAAAAGGAAAGCTTCCCCAACGTTTTAGCGTAAAATCTACAAATTTGGATTAAAAACACAAAATTATCGTTTTATTGGACAAAACCAAACTAGGTCACTCGGAATCCCTGACTTCATTAATTGCCCCCCGATAGTGCAAAAGTACGAGAAAGGTAGGTTTCAATAATGCCCAAAACCAAAAAGCATTTGAACATGTTACTTTCACCATATTATCCAGCTGCAGCATTTCCTGAAAGATTTGTGAAAAAATGAGTTTCATAAATTCTTAGAAATAAATGCTTTCCGATTGTAGGAATTCACTACCACTAGCTTCTCAAAAATAGTTTCAAAAGCGACAAAATTCGATCAATGATGAAAAAAATCAGTTTCAGGACGATTTTATTCGTTTAGTGTGATGTACCTTCCACATATCCCCCAAGCTGTATCCTAGAAAAACTGTCATATTTTTGGAGATGACCGGTCTTAATTTGCATAATTTTTTAGTTAGAGATGTTAAAAAATATTCTTCGTATCCTTAAAAAACGAATTCGAAATGTTATTCGTAAAAATGCTAAAAAATCGCAAAAAATTTTTTGACGAATATATGTTTCATCGCTTTTCCAGAAGAGCAGATACTTTTTAGCAATTCTGTTTGTCGCGCCAATATTATCAAATTCTGCAATAATCCTGGATAATAACCGCTCTATATGAAATTACAAAAATTTGTTTTTAAGCAAATTTAAAAGAAAGTTTCAGAATGCTTGATGTAGAAATTCATCGCTTCTTTTATAATGGAGTACCCCTGGCAGTCAGACCTACATAATTTTCAGGCAATATTTAGACGGTAACTTAAATTTACCCCTGAAATTACCTTAAGGTCACCTTTCTTTCACAACGGCTTTTGCTAATTAAGGTCAGTTAATACAAAAATTATTCATATCTATTATCAGAAACCGTATTTTCATGGTTTTGTACAGATCTTTAAAAAGCGGGAAAATCATGTTTCGAAGCAAATGTCCGTCTGGCGAGAATAAAATCCCGTAATATGAGGCAAAACTCTGGTAGCTACAATATCCAGTATAATAAGTACAGTACCTCAAATTTCATCTGCGTTTTCGCCTCCCCATTCTGGTTGCAGGCCACGCACGCGTAGCTGCCCTCGTCCGCAAGCGTCACGTGAGCGAACTAAAAAAGCCGTCAATTTCCGTATTGTAAGGAAATTAGTGATTTTTTCAATGTATTTGGCAGGCAAGCAGCGATGCTTTGCGGAAAGGGGCTTGGCGTACGATTTTTTAGTAGGGCTTGTAAAGGATCGGCAAGAGAGGGGAAAAGCCCCGGAAACGGCTGAGTGCCATGGCGTGAATCAGCCCATGCTTTCCCCTCATCCTCGGCCTCGAGCGATGGTGATTCGGGACGCGTGTAGCTCAGCGGAAGAGCACCTGTACGGAAAACAGCCCGCCGTGCGCAACCCCGTTTTACCATTGCTCGAAAGTTTATTAATAATGGGCTGATTCACGCCATGGCACTCAGCCGTTTCCGGGGCTTTTCCCCTCTCTTGCCAATCCTTTACAGGCTGGCTAGCAGAGACAATTTGAGAATTTGAGATCATTTGCCATGGCACTCAGCCGTTTCTGGGCTTTTCCCTCTCTTGCCAATCCTTTACAGGCTGGCTAGCAGAGACAATTTTAGAATTTTTATTGATGTTTTACCCGACACGGGATTAAAAAAATGAATTTTTCGCTGTTGAAGGGATTTTCCTGAAACATTTTTTTGCGCGAATTTTCGAGTCCCAAATGATCTCTACTAGCCTGCCCCTCCCCTCTCTCTCCTTACAAAGATCTCTGCTAGCCTACCCCTCCCCCCCTCTCTCTATACCACAATGATCTCTGCTAGCCTGCCCCTCCCCTCTCTCTCATCCCAAATGATCTCTGCTAGCCTGCCCCCTCCCCCCTCTCTCTCATACCAAATGATCTCTGCTAGCCTGCCCCCTCCCTCTCTCTCCCCATCCCAAATGATCTCTGCTAGCCTGCCCCTTCCCCTCTCTCTCATCCCAAATGATCTCTGCTAGCCTGCCCCTCCCCCTCTCTCTCATACCAATGATCTCTCTTAGCCTACCCCCTCCCTCTCTCTCATCCCAAATGATCTCTGCTAGCCTGCCCCCTCCCCCTCTCTCTCATCCCAAATGATCTCTGCAGCCTGCCCCTCCCCCTCATCTCATCCCAAATGATCTCTGCTAGCCTGCCCCTCCCTCTCTCTCATCCCAAATGATCTCTGCTAGCCTGCCCCTCCCCCTCTCTCATCCTTCAAATGATCTCTGCTAGCCTCCCCCTCCCCCCTCTCTCATCCCAAATGATCTCTGCTAGCCTGCCCCTCCTCTCTCTCTCATACCAAATGATAGCCTGCCTCCCCCCTCTCCTCATCCCAGTGATCTCTCAATCCTGCCCCCTCCCCTCTCCCTTCATCCCAAATGATCTCTGCTAGCCTGCCCCCTCCCCCTCTCTCTCATCCCAAATGATCTCTGCTAGCCTGCCATTTTTGCAGAATTCTTTCTAGGAACGTTTGAATTACCGCTCGGTAGTCCAAGAACTATAGCTAATCCAAAAGTTGGACAAATTGCTGGGATCATATGATTATTTTCAAGGAACAGCCGTGAAACATTAATTTAGCTTTTCAACCCTTCTACCCTGTCACTATCCCCATAAACGTGCCTTCAGCGTCGCACACTCCCCATCATAGCTCATCAAATATCGATCGGATGGGACCAGCGCCTGGCCATTCCGCATCCATACAATTGACGGGCTCGGGAAACCGGACACGGAGCATTCTACCGTAGTCTGCTCTCCGGCGGTTCCACGGAGGACGCCAGGGAGTACTTCGATAAATTGGGGTGCTTTCGGCTCCTTGCGCGTGCGGCGCTTCGGCGCTTCCGCGCGGACCACCTGAAAAATCAGGGTATAGCTAGCAGAGATCATTTGGGAAGAGAGAGGGGGGGGGGGCAGGCTAGCAGAGATCATTTGGGATGAGAGAGGGGGAGGGGGCAGGCTAGCAGAGATCATTTGGGATGAGAGAGAGGGGGGGGAGGGGAGGGGCAGGCTAGCAGAGATCATTTGGGATGAGAGAGAGGGGGAGGGGGCAGGCTAGGAGAGACCATTTGGGATGAGAGAGGGGGAGGGGCAGCTGGTAGAGGTCATTTGGGATGAGAGAGAGGGGGAGGGGGCAGGCTAGCAGAGATCATTTGGGATGAGAGAGAGGAGGGGGCAGGCTAGAGAGACCATTTGGGATGAGAGAGAGGGAGGGGGAGGCTAGGAGAGACCATTTGGGATGAGAGAGGGGAAGGCAGGCTTGCAGAGATACTTGGCGAAAGTTCCCTTACCTCAACCTCCGAAGAACTAGTCGCAATTCCTTCAGTGTTAGTGGCGGTACAGTTGTAGAATCCTTGGTCGTGCACGGAGACGTGGTGCACCTGAAAATTTGGCATTGCAAAGTTAACTACAAAAATAACTAGAAATGATAATCCTGTCTCCTAAATTATTGAGGGAGTTAACCATTTTCCAGCTGATTTCTGTGAAACACTTTTTTGCAGAATTTTAGTGATGAATTATAGAAAAGCAGTAGAAGACGAGATTATTGATTTAACCAGGGTTGAACCTTTTATTTATTTACATTTATTTATACTATATTTAACCAGGGTCTATTTAACCCTGGTTAAATATAGTATAAATATAGTTAAATATAGTAGGATTATGTTCGTTTTAATACAAGGAATAAATATCTACTACTAATAAAGGGTTGGGCCGGACAAGGAAAAATGCTGAAACCTGTTTTTCTCAAAAGTTTTCGTTCTAGATATTTCTCCAGGTAATAATAGCCGGTCAACGAACGGGATGAAGTTTCGCAAAAATGGATGCTTTAAACCTACGGTTTAAATAACTTTTTAACACATTAAGCAACGCGAAGAAAGATTTCCAATTCATGTCGAGATCCGGCTCCAATTAAGTTTTTGAAATCGCGCTTGGCACCTCAAAATTTGGAAACGCATTTTTGCAACATTTTTCGTCCTAAAATCCTAAAAATACCGTAAAGCTGGATTAAGCAAATTTGTCATTTTTTAGTAAAGTGCCGAATTTTCGAAACTATAGTATGGCTAATTAGATTAATGCGTCTATTGGGATGCCCGTAATTTTATTGCATAACTTAATAATCATAGAGAGCTTACAAAATTTAAGAGACAGTTGAAGGATTAATTTCGTAACGACGTCGTGCCTTTATTAAAATTATAAATTTTCGCCGAATAGAGAGGCTTTTAGAAACACCTTTTTTCTAACCCTGTAGGAACCAATTCGCTTTTGCTCGTTTTATATGGCAAATTCGTGAAAAAAGAATTGAGAAAAGAACGCTACCTCCAGATAGTAGAAGTCTCCATCATTGTAGATTGAGAATTTGTTTCCGGTCTCCAAGACGACTCCTGCCCGGTCCCAGTATACGGTAGGCAGCGGGTTGGCCGAGATGGCGCATTTTAGCCGTAGGCTCCTGCCCTCCTCCAGCTCCTTCTTGGCTTTTGGCCTAAATCAGGGATTTCAGTGGAGAAATTATAACAGGACGGGGTACATATTTATCGACATTTTTTAGCTCAATTATTCGCAAGATTCATTGTCTCAAAATCGATGCAAATGAGCCAAAACTTTGGTGAAACACATTTTTGAAAATAATACCATGATTTAAACCGTATGCATTTCAGCGAACTAGAAAATAGAATAAAAAATGCATATAAAATGCACAATCTAAATTCAATTTTTGAGGCTGTGTAGGCTCAGAAGGAACCGGCACGGATTGCCTAGAACATGGTACAATTCACCTATGAATTTGGTGAAACATATTTCTTGGGCAAAATATACTCGGTTTCGTTACCCATTTTTTGTAGGCAATTTATTGCAAGGAATTTTATAAATCGCGCTCAATACATTATTTTCTTAGGCGGTGAATATACTAAAAAAATGCTGGTTGCTGCTAAATTAGAAATTTAATTTTTAAGTTAAATTATAATACCTTTCAAATGCAATTTTCTCGGCTAAAGTACCCTTTTTCGATTTTTCAAATGCTGGGTTAAATTCAGAATTTTTCGCGCTCCAAAATAAGCTATCTAGCAATGAAAATTGGGCTAAAAACGTATTTTACGCAGCTTAAAAAGTTTCGTTTTAATAGAGCTAATAAAAACTGTTTTCAAAGAACTTTTCGTGTTTTAAAAATGATGATTTAATTCAGAAGTTTCGCTTAAAAATAGACTAGTTTTCCACAGAAAAAAATAAGTTTTATAAAACGTACGTAACACAAAATGAAATACTAGCTTTTAATTTATGGTCCAAATTAAAAACGCAATTTTCTTTCTTTTCAAAAAAACATTTCCGGCCTTAAAATTTGAAATTTAACTCAGAATTTTTCGCTTTACAAAATCAGCTATGATAATATTAAAAAAAGCGTTTTGCAAAACGTACTTGACAAGGAACTTTGGCCGGCACGGCTTCCGGTTTCGGTGTTGCACGGCTTGCCGGATATCATCCAAGCTGGACGGGGCCGAGTTGTCGGTCTCGTCCTTGCTGGAGGACTGCCTTTCGAGTTGTTTCTTCTTCTCATCTGCTTCCTCCATCTTCTCCTGTTGTTCTTCCGGTTTCTCGGCGTCTTCGGGGAGTTCAAACGGCTGCGAGGTGGTCGGGCTCAACAAGGCTGTCGCCATGATTGACTCGGCCAACCCCTTGGCCGCAGAACGGTGCCCAGCGATGCGTTGGCGAGTTTCTAAAAAAATGTGTATTATTATTTCAATATTTTAATTAATGTTAATAGTTACTGATTTTCATATTTAGCAATCAATTTGATCTTGATATTTAAATATCTTGCTTTTTTACAGATTGGAATACAAACGATTAAGTAGCCACCACCACTCCTATTACAAAATTGCAACGAAACATTTTTTCGTAGCAAAGTTTTGAGCTGAGAACCCGTATCTCCTCCAATAAAAATTCGTTAATTGGTGCTTTTGCAATACTGGGGGGGAGTTTCCATAAGATCATGTTTCTAAACAAATATTATTATTTTTGCTTTGCCTCATTATGTTCGACACCCAGACGTTATGTGAAAACATGTTTCGAAAACCCTTAAAAAGTCCGTAAATACATTTATAGGATCGCCAATTGATTACAGCTGGGCGTAATTTACGAAATTTTAACAAAAACAAAAATGTTTCGTAAAATATGAAAAATCCGAAATGAAGTAGTGATTTATTGGGGGAAAAATGCTGCTTACAAATTTTGTAATTGAAAATTGAAATCAAGCAACACAGAATTCGCAAAAATCTCATAATTTTTTCTACAAACGTTCGGCTATTGGTATATTAAAACCGCGAAAACGCCTGCCAAACCTTGAAATGAGCAAAAAAGCCAGATAAAAAAGCACGTTTCAAAGAAATTCAAAAACAAAAAAATATCTTGACCGCCAATTCGCTGGTATCATCTCTTCCTAATAACCTTATTTGAGTTTTAACCGGTATATAAACCAAGTGACACATTCAAAAATTGAGCTTTGGACTTTTAGAAAGGGTTGTAGACCCAGGAGTTTAATATTTTGGAAAATAGATGTTTCAAAAAATTTAAGGGGAGACGATAATATTTGAGGATTAATAAGGCGACCTTATGCGAGGCGAACACTCTTACTTCTCGTCAACTGGCCTGCCACCGCAGCCGACGCTCCAGCCTTCAGCTCCATATCCTCGAGGCCGTGTACGAACACCGGGGCGGCGCCCTTTTTCCGCAGTTCTTGGCGCACCTGAAATGTTTTTATAGTTTAAAAATATCATTTTACTGAAAGTCGTTATATCTTTAAGGGTTTTTTTAAGGATCAATTTTTTTAAAATTTTTGATGGTTATCAAAATATTTTGATTATTTTGCTTAAAGGGATAGGGGCGGCATACGTCAATCGGTTACGCGCTGGAAAGAAATGTCTCGCGCCTCCCCTAGGCTCTGCCCTGTTGGCTGCCAATTTGTTGATGGGGGATCGGCACATGCCGTCGGCAGCCCTTTAAGTTTCGTTCCGACTGATGTGTATAGACTAAAAATATTTAACCGGCTAGATGCGCAATACATAACGGGACAACGAATTGAATACGTCCAAAATTTTTTAACGAAAAGTTTTAATGAAACACACAATTTTGAAAATTTTATTCGCAAAATGCATGGATTATTTAAGTTTCTTGCGACCCGTATCGACCGACCCCTTGATGTTTTGATAGTTAAAAATGACGGTGAAGCTATTTTTTTCAGCACCACTAATTTCTATAGATTGCTAGCCTGCCCTCAGGAATCGGGTCGGATTTCCGATAACAAAATTCGTTGTAAAATCAATTCCCTAATGGTCTCTGCTAGCATGCCGCTAATGAATTTTTTTGTCAGCCGGAGTTCCATCCATTAATAAACCAAAAAAATTTTACATTGTGACCTTGCTGAAACATATGTTTCGACTAACTGACTATTCAGCGAATTTTATGGGATTCTATTTGTATCAATACTTTCGTACCGCTTCCAATACCAAATGATCTCTGCTAGCCTGCCCCCTCCCCCTCTCTCTCATCCCAAATGATCTCTGCTAGCCTGCCCCCTCCCCCTCTCTCTCATCCCAAATGATCTCTGCTAGCCTGCCCCCTCCCCTCTCTCTCATCCCAAATGATCTCTGCTAGCCTGCCCCCTCCCCTC